CCATCATCAAAGGCAGAGGATGGGAATAATGATTGGGATGAGATCCTAGCTGGAGAGGCAGGATCTTCCGATCTTCTCCCCTCTACGGTATCACCTGTCAGCCGGTTATGGATATGCATCGCGATCCCGCCGTTCGCCACTGTCGAGCATTACTGCGCCTCCAGGTCTGTAACCAAATCGTGCCTCCATGTCGGCACACCTATTTCCATGTAGTAATCCCAGCACCCCTTCAAGGCGTGAGTGGTCTAGGTTGTTTCCACTTCCTACCCCCTTTCTTCCCATTCGGGGAGGGTTTATCACTGCTCGACCTCGCCCTGGCGACCGACAGCCAACCCGAACCCATGCGGGCACCCATACCACACGCACACACACCCTCCACCACGACATCCATGCCAAAAGCAACTACAACGTGCACTTTGGGGCAACATCTTGGGTCATGCTCGTGGGCCCCGCGAGCACTTTGTCATGGGGCGGCGGGGGTGCTGGCATATTGCCTGCTGCGCACATGACCACAATCTCGGTCGAACAAATTTCCAAAGTGCACTTCGCGGCTAAGTCGGGAGCATGCGCGGCCACCCCATGATTATTGTTCATGGGATTTTGACAGGGACGGCGGGGTTGCTGGCATATTCCCTGCTGTGTGCAGGCCCAGCAGACACTATGATGGCCACCCCGCCGCGATTGCGCGTTAGATGTCGGCAAGGAAGGTCAGGCCGACATGTTGCCCGGTGTGTGCTGTCACGTGTGCGGGCGCACCTGGCGCACTCAGTGCGTGCCCCGGAAGTGGCGCACCTTGTGCGGCTGGAACATGGGGCACAGCATACACGGCGCACGTGGAGCACGAAGCGCATCTGGCGCACCAGGCGTACCTGGCAAGCTTGGGCCTCAGGGGTGCCTGGCGCACCTTGCGCGCGTGGCGTGCCTGGCACGCGTGGCGTACCTCGCCCCAACGTCGCGCATATAGGGTCTGTTTTGGTTCCCAGTAGCTGTCATCCAACGACGACCGCTGAACATGCTGAGGTTCGGGTGCTACTTATGTGTTGGGAGGGTGGGTAGGGGTGAGCGAGACGGCTTGCGGGCGGGGAGGGTGCCTTGACGCCTCCCCCTACCTCCCCCACTGGACCTGGACTGGGCGTTTCGCGACCCATCGGAGCGTCCAAGAAGGCATCGGCGAGAAGGCAGGCATAACTATTTGTCTTCATGATTTGGGCCCATGTTGGCCTCCTGGGGGGGACGACCCCTGCACTCCTGCGAGGCGTCGCGCTCACATCCGTGGCCCATGCCACCGCGCGGTAGGGATCTCCTCTGCTAGGATTGCGAAGGTTCCCACAACCAGAATTATTGCCCAAATGGTTCCATGTATAAGCCCCAAATCGGCGAGGCCGTGTTGGCTTTTGTAGAACCGACCTGGTTTGAGGTACCTTGCTCCTGAAGAGTATAAAGTAAATGGATTGTGTGACATACCAAGTGCATCGTACAGCTCGTGTGGAAGACTTGACCAAGATACCAAACACTCCAGACACACCAACGGTGGCAATCGGAGAGTGCTGGCGGAATCCAACGTTCTGCTACTGCGCGTGTGCGCAAATGTGCCAATAGCCTTGACAATCGCAGTCCTAATAGCCCGACCAGTGTACAGGCAATGGGAAAACATGGTAGAGGTGTGGGAAGCACGGCGCATGTACTTGGTATTCGTTGCAATCATGTTGGCACAAGCCCGGCTCTTGGTAGTGTGGTAGCTGTTAGCGTACCAGTAGCGACCGCACCGCTAGTCTTAGCACTGCGAGACGTAAGGGTAACTCTACCAATAACACTAAGGGTGGTCTTGGCGGCGCTCGGAATGATGATGGTGGTGATGGTATCGACCATCCTGGCGGCAATGGGCTGTTGTGGTGGTGGTGGTGACATGAGGGGAAATGCCGTATCGATCGGATACAGCAGTACGCTGTAATTCACGTGGGGCGGTCAGCACTGGTGTGCTCGAGTTATCCTCCTCTTCACCCTCCCACTTCTACCCCCCTCCTCTTCCTCCTCTTGCCCTCTTCCTTAACTTCAAGCTAGACGCCGCGCCCCATGCCACGCTCCAAGGCAGCAGGTCGTCCTCGCGCACTGACCTCATGACCGAGCGTGGGCTTTTTCCATTCTGGCAGACGGGTGCGAGCTATACAAGATGGGTATGGGTAGTGATGAAGGGGTGGAGGATCAGGAGGATGAGGATGAGACCGAAAAGAAAGACATGCGTGAGGGTGTGGGGTGCAGTGAACAGTAGGAATGCGGATGGGAGGATGGGAGATGCGAACGGGGGAGGGGGACGATGAGGACGGGCGCGATGATGATGCTCAGGAAAATGCGGAATGAGCAGGAGGGGGATGGCATGGGGTGAAGGGAGGCCATGCGGACAGGGAGGGAGGAATCTGGCAGGATGCCGATGAGAAAAAGTAGGGGATGGAGAGAAAGGCAAAAATGAGGAACGATGACGATGGTGGCGCACATGAGCATCAGCGCAACCAGAGACGCGGCGGCCCTGTGGGTCAGCCGCCGCCGCCGCCGCCCCAGAACGCTTACGCGTCAGAGACTGATGACGATGGTGGCGCCGCCGATGAAAATCAGCCAAAGACGCGGCACCTAGCGGGCAAGATTAGTCAACGACGAATTGCGAACCTGGGCCAACTCGAAAGTTGCATCGGGTCGGGCTGCATCGGTACCCTTGTACATGTCTGTTTCCATGTCCGATAAGAGGTGCGTGACGCCATTGCGAAACGCCAGTACTCAGTTGTGAACGTACTGCCAGCTGTTAAGGCGAGCGTGCGCCGTACTACGCCGAGAGAGTCCTCTTTCGAAGACGACTTGTGCTCCATTCTTGTAAGTGTCGCCTGATTTACGGCGAGTGCGCGCGGCGCTATGACTGAGAATGAATTCGTTGAGTCCAACGGCCCAACTGTTGTAAGTTGCTAAGGGAGGTACGTCGGCATGTTTGATATTGCCCGCGTATTGACACATCTATACTTCGATTGCAACTGTATGTGACAGATATATGATACTCCGTGGACGAGCGAACGGCCCCCATGCGACAACGAACGTGTCTCGAGAGTTCCTTCGGACACTGGCCCTCTCAAGCGGTATCTCGTTCAGTGCGATTCGTACCTGGATGGCGTCGCAGGCGCCTCGCTCTGGTTCTACATGTTTTGTATGGTTTCGCTCTATAAGCTTGCGCCCAAGCTAGACCGATACGCTGGTAACAACAAGAATCGTGGACGTACCGCGTTCATCAGACAATCGAACTCTCAAAGCTTAGGCGGGAGCCTACTGTCGAAAACCGCCTGTGACACGTCCTTCTACTTGTTGCGAAGATCAAGCTTCGGGGCGTAAGTGGTGAGGTGAGGAAGCCTCGAGCGAAACGCCTGGCCCACCAAACCGACGCGCCCGATGGTGCGACAGTGGGGAGCTATGTACAAGGACAAAAGGGATAGAAAGGATTGCCGGGGAGGAGGCGAGCAACGGGATGTGGAAAAGCATGGGGACCGCGGGGGGGGCTGTTTCAAAACAGCGTGTTCCAGCCCACGTACACCCATCGTGGTGGGCGAGGCCACAGCGGGATGTCGTCGTCGCAGTCGACGTTCACGCAAACGACCGCGACGCCGAAGCGCAGGAACACACCAAGCACCAGCACTAACTACTCACAAGAAGAGGACACCATTCTTGATGATGGGTTTATCGATCCAGACTGCCGAAGCCCACGCGCGCTTGACCAAGAAGGAAGCCACTTACAATGACTGCCAACACTTGGCTCTCAACAAACATCAAACTCAACCCATCTTGAAAAAGGAACGCTGAAACGGCCTGGGCGCCAGCAGCGTAGACAGAACACAGTAACCATACCTCTTTGAGTCTCATGCGACGTCTACCGTGGAGGAGTCCCTCGCCAGGGTCTGGCGGCAACCCTCGCGGCACCCAGGTGGCCCCAGGAGCAGGATGAACCGCGGCACCAACCTCTTGTACTTGACCGTCGGGAACGCCGCCAGCAACAGTGTCGTCTGCCAGCGGTACCTCGCACGCCTCCGAGGGCGGGGCGGTTTCCCCCCGCGCCGCGGAGGAAGCCCCCTGCACGGATACCGTCCCCAAGCGGTGGTGGGCGACTGCAGAGTAGTAGCTGATAGCGTCTCGGGCTCCCGTTGCTCCTCGACCTCATGTGGCACCTCGGGTGGGGCGGTGGCCGTGGCGCAGAAATCATCTAGTTTTGCAAGCGCTGCCGAGGAATAGACGATGGCACCGCAAGTGCGTTCCCAGAGCCCCGAACCAAAGATGAAGACATGATCGTTTGCCTCCTCCGTTGCAGATGCACACGGGGCTGCCCGCCCACGCCGGGCATAACTGCGGGGTTCCTCCGCGCGAAACCCACCAGAGCGCACCACGACGTGCTCCTCGCCATCGGAGGTGGAGATCACATCCACGCGGGCCCTGTCCTCCTGCCTCGCCCCGAGCCGCCAGTACTCCTGGAAGCGCTTCAGCTCGGGCACCGATGCCGAGGCCAGCGGGCATCGCTGCGCGTCCGACGAAGGATGGCATCGCTGCGCGTGCGACGAAGGAGGTCCTCCTGGGAGGGCGTGGCGCCCTGGAGGAGAGCTCCCAGAGCGGGTGCCAAAGCCAGCACGCGGTCGACGAGCTCGACGTCGCCCAGGGTCAAGCTCAGAGGGTCCCTGGCCGAGGTGTGGCGTGCCACCAGGGCGGCGACGAACTCGGTCGCGAGCGGTGGCACGAGGAGATCTGCAGACAGCCGCGCATGAAGGCGACGAGCACGGTGGTCTGATGCAGCAGAAAGACAAACGCGCCCACTCTGGGCGCCATCCCACGCCATCTCAAGCGGCCGACCCGCAGCTGACTCCGTGGGCCAAGTACACAGAGCCAACATGTTGAGGGTGAGGCGGCCTGAGCGAAAACGGCTACGGTGCCTGTGGGCAGGAGGAGAAGGAGGAGGTGGAGGTGGAGGAGGAGGAGGTGGAGGAGGAGGAGGGGGAGGAGGAGGAGGAGCAGGAGGAGGAAGTCTCTACCGGCCCCGGGTCGTCGACGCCCCTCGCCACGGCCGCAGGAGCCCCGTCGAGAGCCGACGCGCGCCCCTCAGCGCAGCGGGCGGCGCTCGCCCCTGAGCTCGTGCAGGAAGCGGCACCGGTCGCCCCTGTCGCACTGCCCCTTCTGGAAGGCGAAGCAGACGCCCCGCCCCACGGAGCTGCGCCGGAGCTCCGCGGCGTCCGCGGCGAAGGGCGCCAGCGCCTTCCCAGCCGGGATCCGGCCGTCCTCGGCGCCCCGCACGGGCAGCTCCCACTCGTCGCGCCGCACTGGCCTCGCGAGGACGAGCCGCTCGATGATCGCGCCGCTGTTGGGGTCGGGGCAGGCCAGGACCTTCCCGCCCCGGAGCACGCGCAGCGCCTCCGCGGCGTCGGCGGCGGTGCCGAACTGGACGACCGCGCGGCCCGTGGGCCGCCCGTCCATGCCCAGCACGACGAACACGAATTCGCGGGGCGGCGCGCGGCCGAGGTGGCCGCCGAGCCAGGCGAGGAGGTCGCCCACCAGGCACCAGTAGGGGAGCCCGTCGAGGCACACCCTGCCGTCGCCCTCCCCGTGCTCCACGCAGCTGCTCCACTCCGCCGCGAAGTCCACTGGCTCCATCTCCGCGCCCACCTTTGACGAACGAACAACACACACCCATACCCATAGGGGCGGTCGTTGGGAGGAGGACTCGCTATGGGTATGGGTGCGGGTTGTCGGACCCTGGGGAACGCTCCCGTTCGAGCGGGGACCTTCATCCGACAACACGTACCCATAGCCCTCTCCGACCCCCCTATGGGTATGGGTGTGTGTTGTTGGTTCGTCAACCTTGAGCAGCTGCTGCGTCGCCAGCAGGACCATGAACGAGTCGTCGAGGCCCGAGTGCTCCTGCCCGATCATCTTGACCTCCAGGGCCTCGCAGATCTGCCGCAGCGTGGAGCACCGCAGGCCCCCCGCGCCCGTGCCGTGCACGTGGCGCTGCGCCGCGAGGCGCAGATCGACGTACCTCTCGGCGGCGCGCGCGAGTTGGGCGTGACTTAGTGGGGGGGTCACAATTGGGGGGGTCAGAAAAAAGGTCCCCTTTCGTGCCCCTTTCGGGCCCCTCCAGAGCCCCAGGAGGCTCGTTTAGGTACCATTTGGGTACCTTTTCGGACCACACTCGCCGCCCCCCCTCATTTACGATCCCCCCATTACGCAGCGCCCAAGCGAGTGGGCCAGTACCCCCCTCCGGGAAGGGGTCCAGATCTCTGGGGGTCCACGTCGTGAAAACGTCACTGCGTCGAGGGGGCCTGGGCAAAAGAAGGCAGGGGGGCTCCTCCGGGGGGGCCCGCAGGCTTGCAAGCCGGCCTCTCCTGAGGCCCCCTCTGCCTTCTCAGAGTCGGCGGCGAGCCCGTGGGGGAAGTCGGAGAGGGCGGGCCTTCTCAGAAGGCTCGGGATGCCTGCGGCCCTCTGAACAATTGTTGTAAGCCGTCTCCGACGACAGAGACGGCTTCTCAGAGGGCCAGAGAGCCTCTGAGAAGCCCCGCCTCACTTCCGCCCCCCGGGCGCGCCGCCGACAGAAGGGCCCCCCCCTCGCCGCGCCCACTTTGTGCGCGCAGAAGAATACCTCTGCAGAACCGCGGGCACCTCCAGCCCGAGCGCCTTGCAGTGCATGGGCAGCACGAGCTCCAGGTCGGCGGAGCCGTGTGCCACGGCGCAGCAGGGCCTCTGGGGGTCGCGCAACAGCGAACGCGACAGATGGATCCCCCTCTGCACACAAACGCGCAACACAAACACATTATCCCAGTGCGACCCTACCTAGGAGTTGGAGCATTCAGGAAAGCAACAGCTAAGCTAAGCTAAGCTAAGCTAAGATGGCTAAGCTAAGCTAAGCTAAGCTAAGCTAAGCTAAGCTAAGCTAAGCTAAGCTAAGCTAAGCTAAGCGAAGCTAAGCTAAGCTAAGCTAAGCGAAGCGCTAAGCTAAGCTAAGCTAAGCTAAGCTAAGCTAAGCTAAGCTAAGCTGGGCTAGGCAAAGCTAAGCTAAGCTAAGCTGAGCTGAGCTAAGCTAAGCTAAGCTAGGCTAGGCTAGGCAAAGCTAAGCTAAGCTAAGCTAAGCTAAGCTAAGCTAAGCTAAGCTAAGCTAAGCTAAGCTAAGCTAAGCTAAGCTAAGCTAAGCTAAGCTAAGCTAAGCTAAGCTAAGCTAAGCTAAGCTAAGCTAAGCGAAGCTAAGCTCAGGGTAAGTTAAGCTAAGCTAAGCTGGGCTAGGCAAAGCTAAGCTAAGCTAAGCTGAGCTGAGCTAAGCTAAGCTAAGCTAGGCTAGGCTAGGCAAAGCTAAGCTAAGCTAAGCTAAGCTAAGCTAAGCTAAGCTAAGCTAAGCTAAGCTAAGCTAAGCTAAGCTAAGCTAAGCTAAGCTAAGCTAAGCTAAGCTAAGCTAAAGCTAAGCTAAGCTAAGCTAAGCTCAGGGTAAGTTAAGCTAAGCTAAGCTGGGCTAAGGCTAAGCTAAGCTAAGCTAAGCGAGCTAAGCTAAGCTAAGCTAAGGCTAGGCTAGGCAAAGCTAAGCTAAGCTAAGCTAAGCTAAGCTAAGCTAAGCTAAGCTAAGCTAAGCTAAGCTAAGCTAAGCTAAGCTAAGCTAAGCTAAGCTAAGCTAAGCTAAGCTAAGCTAAGCTAAGCTAAGCTAAGCTAAGCTAAAGCTAAGCGAAGCTAAGCTCAGGGTAAGTTAAGCTAAGCTAAGCTAGGGGAACCCAGGGGGCGCAACTGGGGGAACCAGGGGGCCGCAACCGGGGGAACCGCCCGGGGTGGGTTCCATTGCCCGCCCCCTTTAGCACACAAAGTAAGAACCCTTCTAGGCAGAGCCTAGGTAGGGAACAAACAAACAATCAAGCACACAGACACAGACACAGACACAGACACAGACGCAGACACTGACACAGACACAGACACGCACACACACACACACAAGCACACCAGCACGCATGCACACAAGCGCGCAAACACAGCCCCACACGCAAATACACGTACACAACCACATAGACGTGTATGTACACCAACACATCTGCACATACACGCACGCGCACGCAAAGCTCCACAAGCACACACACAAACCCGAGCACTCTGGGGGACGGGGGGACGAGGAGCGGGACGAAGGGAAGGGAGGGATGGGGGAGGAGAAGGAGGAGACGGAGGAGGAGCCGCAGCAGCACGAGGAGGAGCAGCAGGCAAGGTTTGGGGGGGGGCTGAGGAGGAGGAGGAGGAGGAGGAGGAGGAGGAGGAGAGGAGGAGGAGAGGAGGAGGAGGAGGAGGAGGAGGAGGAGGGGGTGATGGAGGACACCTACGTGCGCACGGCAAACCATGGTCTCGGGGCACACCGGAGGGCACCAGGGTTGTCGGGGCAGGAGCGGAGGGTGGGTGCGAGGGCCAGGCGGGGGGGGGGGGAAGGGGAGGGGGAGATGGGGAGGGGAGAAGGGGGGGGGGGAGGAGGAGGAGGAGGGAGGAGGAGGAGGAGGAGGAGGAGGAGGAGGAGGAGGAGGAGGTGAGGAGGAGGAGGAAGAGGAGGAGGAGAGGAGAGGAGGGGGAGGGGAGACGGGGCAGGGAGGAGGAGAAGGAGGAGGAGGAGGGAGCAGGAGGATGGAGGATGATGTTAGATACGCCAGGCAACCTGAAGCCAACGGCGCCCCACGCAGAGGGTTGGGAGGGGGGAGGAGAAGGAGAAGGTACGGGGGAGGAGAAGAAGGACGATGAGAAGGATGGAGGAGGAGGAGGAAGAGGAGGAGGAGTAAACCCAAGATTCATCAACGATGCTTCTGTACGCCCACGCGTCCCAAGTCCCACCCTACTCAGCCCCTACAGGCCTTCCTTTTCACTGTGGGCAGTTCCCCTCGAAAGACGATCGTCCCATGGTCCTGCAGTCCAGGGGCAACGGATCTGCCATCTATGCCCCTGGCTACAAGGACGCCGACGATGTAAAATCCAGGAATAGACAACGAAACTACGGCATAAACGCAAACTTTTGGTCCTCCGCGCGGGTTTGTTGGATCTGCGCTGGACCCCGTTCCCTGGCGCGCGGTCCGCGCCAGGGGCGGTGCGGGAGGCGCCGCCCGGCGGGCCCAGCGCGGATCCAAGAAATCCACGCGGAGAGCCGAACAAATAATGTTTACGGCGTTTTCTCTTCTTCGAAGGAAATCTCCAGTGAGAACGTCGCTTTGAAACCGAGTCAGCTTCAACCCGTGCAGTTGCCCTTGGGCATGCCACTGAAGGCCGCAATCCCACGCGAGAGTCCCGACTGAAGATGGAGCCGCCCTCAATCCGTGTCGCTGCTCAAATGGATATTTCTCAGCAGGATCATTAAAGAGTAGGGGCATTTCCAGCGAAAGTTCTATGTTGAGAGAGCGCCGTCCACCATCTGCGTAGCAATCGGCGGCTGGACGCGTAAACATCAATGTGCGCAGCGTTGAGGCGAGAGTCACGCTTAAACAACGGCCCAGCGTGTGAGACGAATGTGTACAAAACCAGAGCAATAACCATATTTTAACATGAGCCGCCCTCCATCCGTGTAACTGTAGGAAGCGTACTGAAAACAACTGATTTAAACCGACTGCCCTCAATCCGTACAGCATTCTGAAAACGGCCCGCCCTCCTTCCGTGCAGATGCTCAAACTTTAGAATTATGGGTCATAAGCGGGGAGGAGTTCTCAGGTCAAACACCCAGTCCGCCCTACCGGCACGTCTGTAGATCTATAAGGAAAGGGAATGGTGGAGGAGGAGGGAGATGGAATATACTTCGCTTGGCGAAGAGCCCAACCATCTGCAGTTGTCACCACCGTCGTTGTATGCACAGCACTCGGTGGAACTCCTTATGTGGCCACGAAGCGTGCGAGAGGTGTGCCTAAATGGGTGCGGCGGGTGCATGCGAACGCTGGCATGGGGACCTTCGGTGGGGCTCCCTATGGAGCCACGGGGCGTGTGAGGGGTGTGCCAAAATGGGCGCGGTGGCCGCATGCGAACGCTGGCATGTGGGCCTTCGGTGGGGCTCTGGCTGAATGGGTGCGATGGCCGCATGCGAACGCTGGCATTTGGGCCTTCGGTGGGGCTCTCTATGGAGACACGAAGCGTGTGAGGTGTGTGCCAACATGAACGCTGTGGCCGCATGCGAACACTGGCATCTGGACATTCGGTGGGGCTCCCGGTGCGGCCACTAAACGTGCGCGGGGTGTGCCAAAATGAACGCGGTGGGCGCGTGCGAACGCTGGCATGTGAGCCTTCGGCGGGGCTCCCTATGGGGCCACGAAGCGTGTGAGGGGTGTGGCGAAAGTGGTGCGGTGGCCGCGTGCGAACGCTGGGATTTGGGCCTTCGGTGGGGCTCTCTATGGGGCCACGAAACGTGTGCGGGGTGTGGCTGAATGGGTGCGGTGGCCGCATGCGAACGCTGGCATTTGGGCCTTCGATTGTGCTCCACGAAACGTGTGAGGGGTGTGCCAAAGTGAGGGAGGTGATAGGAGGAGGGAGGAGGGGGTGGAGGAGAGGAGAGGAGAGAAAAGGAGAGGAGAGGAACGCGGCGACCGCCTCTTCAAAACGAGGACCCAACACCACAGAATGGTTGGGAAAAATGGAAGGGAAGAGGGGGGAATGAGGGGAAGGAATACGCAGCGCCGTTTTTTCTCAACACGCCCATATGGACGACGCCGACACCACGGCAAACCCTCGGCAAGGCCTGCGTCCCGCGCTCAAGCAAACGAAACCGGCACCCCGGCAAAACCGCACGGCGAACCTGGCGTCCGAGGCGGCGTTTGCCGTGGTGGCCGCGGCGCCCTCCCCAAGACGCCAGGCCGCGCGCCGGAACAAGTGGTGCGGCGACATATGGGGAAGGGGAAGGAGGAGGCGGAGGAGGAGGAGACAAGCGTAGGGAGAGTCCTGGTCAGCATCTACTACAGCCCGCGGATGGGCGGCAGCGGGGGCGCGCCTGGCCTGTTGCACCTCTCGATGGAGGTGCCGAAGATGAAGGCGGAGGAGGAGGAGGAGGAGGTGCAGGAGGAGGAGGTGGAGGGTGGGGGGGTGAGGAAGACCCAGACATCCTGCGACTCGTGTTTCCGGGACACGGGCCCTGCATCTCTCGACCCCTTCCGCAGCGGCTCTAGCTGGCGGCGGCCCCGCGGGCCCCGACGCCAGCCTCTGGAGGCTAGGCACGGGGGAACACCAGGCTTCAGTACGTCTATTCCCAAACCATCCTTTGCTGTTGGGTTCCCGCTTTGAAGCGACAGCGCCCCGCGTCCTCACCTTCCTCCTCGCCCTCCCACCTCCTCCCATCATCATCGTCATCATCATCATCATCAGCAGCAGCACCACCATCATTATCATCATCACAAACAGCATCAGCACCACCACCATCATTATCATCATCATCAACATAAAGATCACCATCAATCTGTTCATCACTTTCATTACAACCATCACCATTACAATCTTCACCACAATCACTCTTATCACCACCAGCATCATCACCACCATCGTCACCATTGTCTTCACACTCATCACCATCATCATTATATCACCATCATCACCACCATCGTCTTCACAATCGTCATCACCATTATCACCATTATCATCATCATCATCGTCATCGTCGTGTTCATCACCATTGTCGTCGTCGCAATCATCATCGTCATGGTCATCATCATCACCATCAGCGTCATCATCATCGTCGTCGTGTCCATCATCGTCATCATTACCATCATCATCATGATCATCATCATCATCGTCTTCATCATTACCACCATTATCATCATCATCATCATCATCAGCCTCACCACCATGATCATCATTATCATCATCATCACCATCATCACCATCATCATCATCAGCATCAACATCACCGTCATCACCATCACCGTCACCATTGTCATCAACATCGTCATCACCATTGCTAACATCACTACCACAATGACCATGACAACCACCAACACCAGCATCGCCGTCATGATTATCATCATCACCATCATCACCATAATCACCATCATCAACATCATCACTATCATCATCATCATCATCATCATCATCATCATCATCATCATCGTCATCGTCATCGTCATCATCGTCATCATCACCAGAAGCAGTAACAGCACTATCACCATCATCATCACCATTATCATCGTCAGCATCATCGTCATCGTCACTGTCATCATCGTCATCATCATCATCATCATCATCATCATCATCCCCATTACCACCACCATCACCATCACCATCATCATCCTCATCATCATCCCCATCATCATCATCAGCATCATCATCACCATATCATCACCATCAGCATCATCGTCGTCGCCATCAGCTTCGCACACCCCTCACACGTTTCGTCGCCCGATAGCAAGCTCGACCCAAGGTCCTACTGGCGCAGTTCGCATTCGGGCGTCACCCTCGTTTCGGCACACCCTTCACACAGTTCGCTGCGACATAGGGAGCTCCACCCAAGGTCCCACTGACGCAACCCACATGTGGGCCTCACCGCCGTTTCGGTATACTCTTCACGCGTTTCATGGCCCCACAGTCAGCTCTCTCCACCTAAGGCCTCAATGACGCAACCCGCATGTGGGCGTCAACCCCGTTTCCGCACACCCCTCACACGGTTCGTGGCCCCACAGGGAGCTCCACTGAAGGTCCTACCGGTGCAGCCTGCATGTGGGCGTCACCAGCGTCACCCCCGTTTCGGCACACCCTTCAGACGTTTCGTGGCCCCACAAGGAGCTCCGCCTAACGTCCCCTTGGCGCAGACCGCATGTGGGCGCCACCCCCGCTGCGGCACACTACTCATACCTTCATGGCCTAATAAGGAGATCCAACTAAGGTCCCACTGGCGCAACCCGCATGTGGGCGTTACCGCTGTTTCGGCACAGCCCTCACACGTTCTGTGGCCCCACATGGGGCTCCGTATAAGGTCCTACTGGCGCAGCCCTGGTGGGCGTCACCACCGTTTCGGCACACCCATCGTACATTCCTTGGCCCCCCAAGGAACCCGCCGAAGGTCCAACTGGCGCAGCCCACATGTTGGCGCCACCACCGCTTCCGTACACCCCTCACACAGTTCGTGGCACCACAAGGAGCTCCACCTAAGGTCCCACTGGCGCAGCTCGCATGCGGGCGTCACCACCGTTCCGACACACCCTTCACACGTTTCGCGGCCCCTCAAGTGGCTCCGCACAAGGTCCCACTGGCGCAGCCCGCATGTGGGCGTCACCCCCGCTTCGGTACATCCCTCACACGGTTCGTGGCCCCACAGAGAGCTCACCTAAGGTCCCACTGGCGCAGCTCGCATGCGGGCGTCGCCACCGTTCCGACACACCCCTCACACGTTTCGCGGCCCCACAAGTGGCTCCGCACAAGGTCCCACTGGCGCAGCCCGCATGTGGGCGTCACCCCCGCTTCGTTACAGCCCTCACACAGTTCGTGGCCCCACAGAGAGCTCACCTAAGGTCCCGCTGGTGCAGCCCGCATGTGGGAGTCACCACCGTTCCGGCACACCCTTCACGCGTTTCGTGGTCTCACAGGGAGCTCCACCTATGGCCCCGCTGGCCTATCCCGCACGGCAGCCCCGCGCCATTTCGGCACACCCCTCTTGTGGCCCCACAGGGAAGTCCACCCAAGGCCAAAGTGGCTGCGCCCGCACGGCGGCCCCGCCCCATTGGCACACCCTTCACACGCTTCGTCGCTTCGTGGCCCCATAAGGAGATTCACCGAAAGCAGTACCCACAACGACGGTACTCACAACTGCACATGACTGGGCCGTTCGCCAGGACTAGTGTTTCAAAGCCGCTTGAAGTATGAAAGGGTCCCGGTGCCAAGCAACTTCGCCCCACGAGCCTCTTTGGGTGTGCGTTCGACGCAAGATTTCGAAGCGGATCGAACCGTGGCCAAGAGTGGAGGACGAGGGGATGGTGGAGGGGAAAAAACTAAGAAGAGGAGGAGGAGGAGGAGGAGGAGGAGGAGGAGGGGGGGAGGAGGAGAAGGAGGGGGAGGAGGAGGAGGAGGAGGAAGAGGAGGAGGCGGAAGAGAAGAAGGAGGAGGAGAACGATGGGAGGAGGGTGAGGGGGGGAGAGGAGGAGGGAGAAGGAGGGGGTGGAGGAAGGAGAGGGAAAGGGAGGCGGAGTATGAGGACGCGGAGATATCAGCGGAGATACCGATGGATACCACGTGACTATCAACAGAAATGGGCAGCAGGAGGAACACGAGCCTCCATATCCCGACTGGCAGGCGTGCCCCAGCCGCCGAGGCCGCCCACGCCGGCTGGGGTTACGGCCCCCGCCGTCTGATCGGGCCCAACCCCGCGCCGAAATCGCCGATGGAAGGGGAATGGCGAGCCCCCACCGCCTGGCCCAGGCGAGAACTGGACCCCGAAGAGCGAGACCAGCAACACCAGGATGTCGCTGACGAACCGAGCCTCCGCCAAGAACGCAACGCTGCATTAACTATTGCAAACAGCCCGCTGGATCGCGTGCTCCGTAGCGTCCTCTTTGAGCAGTTGCCCAGTGCGGACCAACCCAGCCATAACAGTAGCTTCAGCGGCCTTCGTGTTGGCTGCTTTGGCGGTGTCGGGCTTTTCCTCCAGCTCGAGGATCTCGCAAGCCGTCGCCTCCAAGTCGACCAGAGGGGGGTCCAGCGGCACAACCATGACCTCGACCCGCTTGACGCCTGGGTTGGCGTGAACCTGCTTCTCGCCGGGCTCTGGTGCAGACGGCACGCCGCCGTTGGCCGCCCTTGGCCTCCTCGACGCACAACGGCGTAGCGGCCTCGACCACCGAACCGACGAGCTTCTTGCCCTTGGCTTCGCCCCTGTCCTTGGCCTTCTTGCCCGGGAGCTCCGTGGAGACGACAGTGCCTGCCCTGCCGTGCTCCTTCCCCACGTCGAAAGCCTGCATGGATTCGCACACGAGGCCTGCGCGGGGGTGGCCAAGGCAGCTGCGGGAGACGCCGAGCTTACAGCACCCGGACGCCACCTCGACCTTGCCCATCTGTCGCAGCTGCTGCTTCGCCTCAGGGGCGGACGGCGTGGCCTCCGATCCTGCCCCCCTCTTCGCGGCGCGGAAGGCCTCCTCCAACTTGTCCGTCGTGGAACCCACGCCCCACGCCTCGGCGTGCGCCGTGGAAGTGGAGGAGGAGGAGGAGGAGGAGGAGGAAAAGGAGGACGGGCGGACGCGCCTGACGGTGCACCACGCGCAGCTGCTGCTGCCAAGATGGCCATGGCCTTGTGCGGACGGCCAAACTCCATCCCAGCATGAGCCGCTCCGAAAACCGCCTGCGCCACGGACAGCTGGAGGAGCGCCATGCCGAGCCAAAGCGAAGGTACGGCAAGCAAAACCCTGAAGGGCAGAACCGCTGCCTGTTTCAACGCCCAATGGCTTGAGCCAACATGGCTTGAGACAACATGGCTTGAGCCAAACTTGCTACGGAGTACGAGGAAGAAGAGGTCAGCAAAAGAAGAAGAGGATGGAAGGGGGGAAGGGGAAAGAGCGGATGGGAAGGAGTAAGGGGGGATGAAGGGGGAGGAGGATGGGGAGAGAAGAAAGCATCCCCGTTCCCAGGCTCCCAACGTCGACACGACATTGACATTCCTGCCTTCTCGACCCCCCCCCCCCCGGAGAACCAGTTTCTCATTCTGAGCCGTTCTCCGACGGCCCCGGGGCCTGGGAAAGGTCCTGGGCTCCTGGACGCCGAAAGCGGTCCAAGTCCTTCCGCCTGGATTTCTTAGAGATGCGAGGGTGCCTGGGAATATAACTACTCTTGTAGCATCCACGATGACACCCTTCTCCGGCCCTGCCCGCCCCCCCCCCCCAACTGGCAACGTCACGATGTGCGCGGGCGCCGTCTGGGAATGCCTGGGATCCCTGAGCGTTCGCTCCCAAACGTCGCCCGCGCGAATCGCGACGTCACTGGCCCCCTCCCTCCCTTCCCCTGGGAAAGCCTCGACCTACACACCAAGTAGTCTGGTCGGCCCGCATGTGGTGCGCCCCGGATCTTAAATGCAACTGAAAACGCCTGGCGTGTAAGACGCTGTCGGATTCTTACAACTGCGTTCGAGACTGTGCTTGCGGCCCGCCGTGTTCATGGGCGGGGCTGGTCGTGTACCACCAGAAGGGTGGGAGCGATACAATTGTGGACTCTGTGATTCGCCCTCTGCGCGTTCGCAAGACAGAGCGGAGGCTCCACACCTGTCTCTTTCAACAACCAGAGCTGCGAGACCTGTCATCCGCACGTGGTGCGAGCCGAAACTCAAGGACAACTGAACACGTCTGGCGTGTGGGACGCTGTTGGCTTCTTACAACCTCTCCGCACTTCGAGGCACCAAAGGTCGCTAACGGTTCTCCTCCGCTAGTCAATGTAGGGGTGAGAGGGGCTAAACGGGAACATCTGGAGTGCATGCCTTGAGACGCAATCAAGTGTAGCGTCGATGAATATATCAGCCATTTGATTGCACAACGCCTTGTCGTAGGCGGAAGCGCCAGCATTCTAATGAACACCGAGGCCGTCCCGGCCTTGGGGAATCTGCTGCTTCATTTCAGGGAACGACCACATACCGCGGATAACTTTACAACGCTTGCAAAAATCGTCGGCACTGGGCAAAAGAAAATAACGAAACCTCGTTAGTCTGCACCAGGGGGTCCCCCAACCACAATAATTGGTTAACGCATCGTAAACCCCGTACCAACGCGAGACCTGGACAGCGGCATATTCTTTCCACATGTAGGATGACTAAAGAGTTCCCCACAAAAAGGAACCAACATCTGTTGGCATACATTAGACTAGAACCACGCGCGCGCGCTTCGCGCGCGCGCTTAGGTTCTAGCTAGGAGGCGAACTTGAGTCAACGAAAGTCGCAGGGAAGGGGGCAGGGGGAAGAAGGCCAGAGAGCGCTGAAGGATACAAATACTGGAACCCTCTTGTGATTTTGTGGGGGGCCTCGTCCGGCCGCTCGCTGGGAGTTTGACGTAGCTTCTCGGGAGCCTCTGAACCTGTCGGGGGCCTCCTGGAAGCAGGTTCGAAGCATTTTGGGGGCCGATTTGGGGCTTCTCGGGGCCTCCTTTGGGCCTCTTGGGGGTCTCCTGGGGCCTCTTGAGGGGCCTCCTTGGGGCCTCCTGGCGGCCTCTTGGGGCGGAAGGCTCGAGCTTGCGGTTCGTGGTCCCCCTCTGGGCCCCCTCTTGGGCCCGTCTTGGGGCCCTCTTGGGCCATCTTGGGCGCCTCTTGGGCCGTCTTGGGGCCCTCTTGGGCTGTCCTGGGGCCCTCTTGGAAGCTTCTTGGGCCGTCTTGGGGCGGTCTTGGGCGCCTCTTGGGCCGTCTTGGACGCGGTGAAAGCCCAAGAGGCGAACATGCGAAAAATATACGTTTTCCCATAGGAATGGCACGATTTTTGCTTCTTGGGCCTCTCTTGGGCTGCCTCTCGGAGCGTCTTGGAGGCTTCTGGGACCTTCTTGGTGTCATGACAGGCGTCTTGGAAGGCATCTGGAGCCATCGGAGCGCGCTCCGAAGCCGCCTGCGAACGATCTTGGACGGCGTCCGGCGGCCTGACGAGCCTCCGGGCCCCCCGGGGCCCACATTTGTGGTCGGGGTCCCGGCCCCGGGCCCCCGGACCCGGTGCGCCGTTATATGTATATATCCAAATCAACACCTGAAGCAATGAGTTCCCCTCGTCCACGAAGGTTTGCAGATGAGGAGGGAGCGAGAGGGGCCCGCTGGGGAGGGTGCTGGTTCGGATGTCATTTTGGCCTCCACGTGCGATGGAAAAACTTGCAAGGAACCCCAGCGAGGAGCCCAAACACATGTCGGACTTCAGCACTCTGAGAAGACGGGCGGGCACCGAAGGCCCGAGGAGGTCACTCTGGGGCCCTTGGAATACATCAAACGAAACACATTGCTGTCTCGGTGCCCAAGTGCCGACGAGCAATTTTCGGAACCGGAGAAGATTTCGACGAAGAAAAACTGCCGACCTTGGCGCGCGAGGGCATCAGGTGCCGTTTCTCTTGACGGCGGCGGCAAGCAGCGCGGGCAGCTCGGCTTCGGCCTGCAAGCTGTATTCCCGCGCTCGCTCGTTCATCCCGCTCCGCGCGGTCTGAATCAGCCCGCGCTTCTCGTGCCGGCGCACCGGGGCTGGCTGCCGCCAGCGGCCGCGCCGCTTGACCTCCTGCAGCGAGATCCTCCCCGCGTGCCTGTCGATCGAAGCGCCGCTGCGCCGGGCCGCGTAGAGCGCGGGCTGCAGCGCTCTGAAGTCGAGGGAGGCCGCCGCCTTGTCGAAGGTCTGCTTCGCCTCGGGCGTCGAGCAGGTCCACAACTGGTCGGACGGCGGCCCCGCAGCCAACTGCACGCTCAGCATGGCCAGCCACAGGCCCGCGACGTCCACGGCCTCGTCCATTGCGCCCGTCTTGCTCGGACGTCGTGTAGTCAGGATTGATGTGCATCGTCGACTTCGCCATGTTCACCTGAATGGGAAAGACCCGGCCCTTGGTCAGCCAGAAGGCCTTGCCAAGCCTGGGGTAGTTGCCCGCCCGCATCAGCCAGAACACCGCGAGCTCGACCTTGTCGCTCAGCCGCCGCAACCGCCCGGCCACGCCCACGCAGGCTGCCCAAGGCAGAGTGCGTCGCGTTCGAGACGGCCGCGGCATGCCGGCGCGGGGCAGGGCCGGCCTGCCCTTGCTCTGGTAGCTGGGCACGCGCATCGCGATGGCAGCGAGCAGCTTCTCGCCCTTCGACGCGCCTCCCTGTCCAGGTAGAGGCGGTCGTAGAACCTCGCCAGCGCGGCATCCAGCAGCGGCGTCGCCACCGCTGGCGTGCCAAACCGACTCGATGCCAATGACTGCCCCGTCAGGCTGGCGCACTGCCACCGACTCCGCTTGCCCACCGCAGCCGCCTCGGCGATGGAGGGCTGGCGGGCGGCGCCCCCCCCCCCCCTTCCCCCCCGCGCCCAGGCGCCGTCGAACCGGGCGCGGCAGCTCGCAAGGCGGCGCCTGGGAGACGCCGGGCAGGAAGCAGCGGCGCCCGTCGCCGCAGCGACAGCGGTGCCGCCTCCCCTGGCGGCGCCTGGGGCGGGGGCCGCGGCCGTGCTGGGGCGGCGCTCGGGGGCCCCGCTGCCGGCGCCCGCCCGGGGGCGGGAGACAGAGGGGGGCCCTCGGGGGCGCGGCGGGCCCCGCCGCCCGAGCGGCCCGTCGCGGTCGCCGCGGCAGGGGCAGGTCGCAGGCCTGGCGGGCCCGCGGCTCTCCCCGCGCCTCTGCCAGCTTCGTCGCCGCCGCCCGAGGCGGTCTGCGTGCCGCGCCGGCGTCGTCGCAGCTGCTGCCCTTGCCTGCGCGGCAACTTGGCGCCAGCCCGCTCCGAGTGCAGCGCAATCTTGAAGACCTTCGCGGGCGCGGCTGTCTCGGTCGGCGGCGTTCAGCTCGCTCGGCGCCCGTCGCCCGCGAACGCGGGCGCCTGCGGCGAGCGCGAGGGCCGCCCCTCGGCGAAGGATATTGAATAATAATATGTCGCGGCAGCGACCCCTTGAGGCGCCGGCGCGCGCGCCTTTTCCCCTGGGGGCCCGCGCCGGACTGGGCCACCTTCGCGGCGTGTAAATCTCCTCTTGCTTCTATATGGCGCGTGGGTACCTGTCTGAGCAGCGGCGAATAATGACTCGTGTCGCACTTGGCGCGGCTGAGGGCGTGCGCTGACACTTCGGGGGATCTTTTGTCGGAGTGCGCCGTCAACGATGCGTGCGATGGGCAGGGGGGCCTCGAGCAGGGCGGCCTCGGCCGCTCGGGATGCGCGATCATGCGGCCGCTGGCGGCCGCCCTCCTCGCGGGCACGGCAGAATCGTTTTCTCTCGTGCCGACGGCCGACGGCGACGACGTCGGCGGCGCCCCAGTCGGCGACCGCCGAGGCGCGCCCCGACTCGCTGGCGTCGGCCACGACGACGCCGCGGGACCACTCGGCGTCGAGGTCGCCAGAGAACGCGATCAGCAAACCGCGGCAGA